TTAGCAAGCAGAGTATTGATCTCATAGGAAATTGATCTAAAAGTTTACTAAATACTAAAATTATAGCAAATTAATCTTATCCAAACAATCAATATCAATAATCAAATTAATTAACTAAAAATACTTAATCAAAATTTAAATTAAGAAAAATCAAAATAATAAATACTCAAGTAAATATCAAATCTAAAAAGCCTAGGATTACAATATCCCTCACACTTCATCTAAATCTTACCTCTCTTTCTTAACTTATTTCAATGGTTTGAATTGCTAACCTAGAGTTCTAAATTATTTATAAGGATCTCTCGACTCATCTTATAAAAATATCTATTTTAACCAAAATACTATATCCCTATGTGAATTGAAATTAAAATAGATTCATTAAGTTCAGGTTCTAATATGGCTACATATGGCCTATAGGTATATCCCTGTCCTATACAAAAATCAAGTAATATGATCATATAATATCTCAATTTTAGTCTACACTAAACTCCCTTTCCCAAGTTTGTATAGGTTCCTAAATCAATTTAGCTGATGGCCAAGCAATTAAAAGCATTAAGAACAAATTGGAATAAACAATTCAAATCCCAGTGAAAATAAGCAAGAAAGAAATTAAAAATTTAGATTACATGCGAGTTCAATTACAATCCTAGAAAAATTAATTCGCTCATAATATCTAATAAAGACAATATCCAAAGAAATTTAGCCATGAATCCAAGTCAAAAAAATAAGAAAACACAAAAGTAAGAGAGAAAACTAATAGTTAGAGCTTTGTGATCATGATTCTCCCTCCAATTCTCTTGTTTTCTTGCTTTGTTCTTAGCTTCAAATCTCCAGAATAGTTGTTTGCTGCCTTTGCTTTAGAATCTCTGAAAAAAGTCCGTTAAATAGGCTTCAAATAACCTAATTTTCAAAATCTCGTTAACTTCTCTTATTTTTGAAAAGTCACCCTGCGCTGCGGTGCTATTTCTCTAGCCATGCAGCGCTGACCTCTCTGGAAATTTGCATGTATGCTTCCTTTCATCAACGCTGCAGCCTTGTTCTTTCCAGCGCTGTGGCAGTCTATCAACTTCAAATGTGAGTTTCACCCTGATATATTCTGAACTGGGCAAAGTAGTAAACATAAAAATTTTATCCCTGTCTCTTAACTTTCCAATGGATTAAGAATCACATCAATTGGACTCCTGTATTGAAAGATATGCTCCAAATACCACATTATATTTAGTCCTTGCATACTGGTACAGTGCTCCGACTTTGACAAATATTTTGACCATGATCCATTCAGAACTGTGTGAATTGGTAACATAAACATTGTTGGCATTCTTCTTAGAGTTCTATTGGTCCAAGAATCACCTCATTTGGAGTTTTTTAGAAAGAGATATGGTCAAAACACCGAAACATATACGAATGAAGTCATTACCATACTTGCACTAATTTTCATCAAATGAGCCTTTTTTCATCAATTTCCTACAAAAGCAATAAAAGAAATTAGCAATAACTACTTTTAAAGTAATTTAAACCAAAACAACATAAAATTTAACTAAAATAACTTAAATTAATCACTTAACAAGTAATCAAAATTAAAACTAAAAAAAACGCCTAAAATGCTAAAATCTGAACCTAAAATCTCAAAGTTCTAGCTACTTAAGTCCCAAAATGTATCAAAATAACTCTATATAATAGAGTTATTAGAAATCTCTTGAACTATCTCATCAGGATGTTCACAAAGTGGATACAAATCCATAACATGTAGTCTAATGCCTAAAGCAGAGAACACTATCCCATCATTAGAGTTCTACGTTGTATCATGTTATACAAAGCATAATCTCACAACTACAATAATGCAAGTCTAGGCTTCCACCCTTAGCTACCAATCATAGCTCTCTTTACAAGCATATACTTATACACTACTTGATTGCTCAGAAGCCACTCATGGCAATCTAAATTCAGTCCCTTGCAGCAAGTCAAACTAGTATATTTTCTTATGCTTTTCCACCATTTTGCAAAGAGTCTAACTTATTAATAATATTATCAACAAAACCAATTTCATAAGCTTGTGTTGAAGAGTAACTACTTTTTGTGATAGACTTGAACATTGTTTCAAGAGGAATTGTAGTTGTATTTGCCAAGTATAGGTGGATTTTCTTTGAATCATCACATGTTTGGAACAAGTGAAGTTCAAGTACATCAACATCATTTTTCAACTCCAAGAATTCTTCTAAGTTTAGATACTGTCCTTGAACTGCTATAGTCATTTCCATGCTAGTATTGCAATCATCTATAGTAGCTTCAAAGATGTAGTTTGTTAACTTGAAGAAAGAGTACTTATCAAGATCAATATGTTTGATAACTTATTAAAGTAAACCACCAAGTCATGCAACTTTAAACTCCCCATCAATTACTCGTAAAACAAAAATATTCTTGTTTTAAAAGCATGTAAATTCTATTGCAATGAAATAGTTCTCTTTGTAAAATTAGAAAAAAAACTCTTACAAGCAGGGTTTGAAAAATCCAAATTACGTTTTATTAGGATTTCAGGTACCAATGCAAATGAAAATGACGAATGTTGTCTTTGATTTCTAATGCAAAATGACATCTTCAAAGCTTTTCTACTTCTCTTATGCTTTTCCCTTCCAATGAACTACCAACTACCAACTACCAAACCATTACAATTGCTAATGTAACAAAGGTGATTCCTTTCCTACCATATGTCTTGACAAATGTTGTCTAACTGATTTAAGAAAGCTTGAAACTACAAACAATCCTTGTTAATTGAAAGATGCACCAAGGGTTTGGTTATGGATGATGAAGAAAAAGGGTGAGATTCACATACCAAAATAGGCTGATTTCAAAGACTTTATGTTGTAGTTCATGGTAGTTTAGTAATTGGTTAGATTATGCAATTAGTTCCTATATTATTATAAAGTTAGATTTAGCCCATAAGCAATAATTTGTAAAAATTGAGTTCCTATACTTTCTAAAATTGACAATATTAGTCCAATTGTTAACAATGTTAAAGCTTTTTCTGTTATTTATGATACGGCATTTTCTTGCTAATGTGGTATTGAATAATATGATGTGGCACTTTTAATCTATTTCACAATATTCTTTTCACTACTTTAAATTATGGATCATAAAAATTCAATTCTTTTATGTTTCACAACACTATTTCCTTAAATCGTACTCTTAGTCTGTTTCCTTTCCAATTTCGTTTAAAATCATTAACTTACATTGGATAATTTCACATTTACAATTATAAAATCCACATCATCCTTTAGTCACATCATATCGTACTATTATTGCATTATTCGTAAAATGCCACATCACCATTGTCATGTCATTAGATTTAATGTCACATCAATACAAACAAACTCCATATCAGTATAGAGAATAGAAAATTTTTAACAGATATTACCAATTTTGAAAAATACAAGGATTCAAATTTTACAGATTATTATACAAGGACCAAATCTATTACTTTGATAAAGTGAAGGGACTAATTACATAATTTGACCTTTAAACCAAATCTACTAAAACCATTTGTGATTTTGGGATGAAATGTCTATTTTTCAAATCTAATAGATTTAAACAAAATTATGATAAAACTTGAGAACCATGATGGAATTTGCTCATTGAATTTCATTAAGTTTTGTGGCTTTATACTTGTGACAAGCTTGTTGATTTTAAGGGTTTGCAAGCAATGATTGGTGGGTACAATAAGTTAATAAATAGCAATGTGCTAACCTCTCCTAAATTGCAATATATGAAATCAGGTCAAGACCATAAAAAAAAAATCCAAAGAAAAAAAGTTAACAACCTTAATTTGTAAGATGAATTTAAATTTATTAAATAATATAAAAAAATTCAATTTTTAGCTATTTTAAGTAACAATAGAATTTGCCAAGCTAGACCGAAGTCCAATGGAGCCAACTGTTTTGAAGACTTAAGCCCAAAATGGGTAAAATATTTTATTAATAGAATAATGTAAAAAAATGTTTTAATATTTTCTTTTAAATAAATGCAATTGAAAATATATTATTTTTATATTAAGAAAGAAGGTGCCAACTTCTTGTCTACCACGTACAAATCATTCAGGCTTTTGACGTAGGATGGGATAACTCCAACTGAATGTTAACAATAAAAGCAACTATCAAAAGTCAAAGCAAAGCATGAATAAAGCAATACTTTCAATTGGCTACGAACGTGGCTTGCCTCGTACCACAAGATAACAAAATATTTAAAAAGTGGAAATAGAGTTAAAAAAATAATATCAATTAAAACTTAAAAATATCGTCAGAATCAGCTTAATTCCACTTAACAAAATATTTTAAATTCGAACTCAACTTAACTTTGTTTGAGATATTATTATATAAATCAAAAATATAAATTTAATTCGAATGAATTTAAACGGACGATCCAGATACAAACTCATGCCTTCGCTTTTACAGGTGTCAATTCCATGAACTATTTTACATCACACTTTGACTGCAACTAATTGTCACATTTAATCGTACGTTATTTAAATATATTATTAGTGTAGAAGTTAGTGAACTGCATTTGCATATTAATTAAAAATGTTTTAAAAAAAATTAAATTAAATGCCCATATTATATAACTCAAATAATAACTTCAATAATTAAAAATCCTATAAAAACTTAATTTTATATTTATTAACTTTTAAGAATCGATTAAAATGGCCAACATTGTGTTTAAAATAAAAGGATGAATATTTGAATCTTACAAACTACAAAATTTTTGAAACATTAAATTAATATTATATATATATGTATGTATAATCCGATTTGATCTGAGTTTAAAATAACATAAAAGTGTTACCAAAACCAAAACCAAACCCAAACCCAAATCAAATATTAAATGCATGACTCAAATCTACCTGATAACCGACTATAAAATACCCGCACCCTACCCATGCCATGAATACTCTTATAACAAAACAATAACACCCCTACACACAACTGCACAATGCATCAGAGGTGTGGAAGTAGATAAAAACATTTTAATATCTTGATCAAGATGTGTCAAGACTCAATTTCCTGTAATTCTTCTTCTTTTCAGATTTCTCTACCAAATTCCCTGGCAAAAAATTTTGGTGTGATGTTACAACAATACAGAATGTACATTCTATTTAAACCTATACAATATTACAGTACCCTTTTCCAAAGTCGTCCTCCCTGTCCCTGGGCCTTCAAAAACAGCTATGCAGCTTGTGATTTCCCAGGAAATAAATAACCCAGATTCCGGCAAACATCCCAATTAAGCTACGAGTACCCAACATCTCATAAATCAAAAAACTGAGCAACTGCAACATCTGAAGATTCAGTAAATTGAGCAGCTTCAGCAATTCTAAGTGCCATCATGGCTTTGTAAGCTGCTAAATCCGCATTTTCCATTAGTAACTGTGCGCGTTGGCGTTTGAGGACAGCGGACTCAACAGATCTGCTTGCTGAGACTCTAGCTTCTTCAAGTTTAAGCATGGCGTTCTGTTCAGCAATGGAATCTCGTTCAGCTGCCAATGCTGCACAATTACAAATTATAGAAGTTTCAGCATCGTATCTGAATCAAGGTCCTACAGAAAACAGTACAAAAGAAACATGAACACATACAAACAGGCAAAACAGGAAATGTTGAAATAGGAAACAAATCCAAAACTAGGTCCTACCACAAACAAAGCTAAAGAGGAAACATACATCCATCAAATTTATTAGAACAACAGCAATTCTCATGAATAAACAAATCTATGTATTAATGCCACTGCCTAACCCATTACCCAATAGAATTGTGTAATTTATCACATAGACATCATCAAAGGTACACAGAAACATAATCACACATCAAAATCAGACTCAACCTAAAAAATTTAGCATGGCTACTATTATCAGAAAATTTAACATACCTTGCAACAAACATGGTTGCTTGCCTCTTCCATGGCTAGCCTGACGTTTAAATGACCTCCTTTTACGTAGAAAAGGCTTTGGAACTAGCGGAGCTTTCTTGACCTGATGACCCTGTTAGAATGGAACATTAATTTTGGTCAGATATCTACAAGAGTCAAGTATATTCATGTTAGTAGTTGCTTGGATTGTTCTACTTGTGCACCAAAACACCAGAAGGAAGAGCAAGGACTGCAATACGGCAGTGTAAATATTTGGAATTCAATACATTCCTTGGATGACAAAGGTATATAACATGATCACAATACTTGATTTTTCAATACCATGGCACCTATGACACGGTGTAAACATAATCACATGATAGAAGAAAAGTTCCAAATTCTCAAAGAATTAATCTGATGAACAGACCATAAAAGAAAGTTAAAGGCAAGTACGCTTGGGTGCCTTGTATTCATCCAACATGCAAGATGGTTGATTCAAAATTTTAGGCCTCAGATTAATTAAACTTCAATTGGGAAAAAATAGCTATGAAATTTCCTTCACACCATGTTAATTTTGCTGTAAATTTTATATATATATAAATATATATATATATATGCATGTGTCTTGACTCGAATCTAGCATTAAATCACTTTGGATGTGTAATTTACTGCAAGCAATTAATGCAACTATATAGCAACAGATCACTTTTGACCTCGGAAATACAATTTCATGAACTCATTGCTTGCAAAATATGGAGGAATCAAACAATGTAAGGGGTAAAACCCTTCTAATGGCGAATATCCTTCCATGTCTAAACTTCACTGGAAATTGTGAGGAACAAGCACACTTGGAACAAAAGCTAGAAATTTCTTTATTTATCAAAAAATAGTGGCATACAATGATATTATAATACAACAAAGTGAGTGCTAATTTCCCAAATAAATCTACAATGAGACGTATTTCCATAAAGAAATTTTGCCGCAACATCCAATTCCATAAAGTGTGAAGAACTCCTACAAGGCAATCATACACCAGAGAAACAGAAAGGAAATATTGCAAAGATGAAATGATAAATTTAAGACACAATACTACTTTTACCTGGAAAACCCTAAGCAGTGCTGATCGCCTCTGCTTCCTTTTTCTCAGCCAGTAAGTATGAACAGCTTCAACCAGTCCTCTAGTCCCCAGATCAAGACACAGATGAGCAGTAGCATTCTCATTAGAGTAATCATCTGGACTACAGAAATAGGCCTTCTCAAAAGCATCAACCATTAGCTCAAAACAATCCTCTGAAAGATGCTCACAATGACCATTTCCAGAAAAAAACTCATTATTTAACTTCGTTAACCATTCCTCATCTTCTGAGTCCATGTCATAATTTGCCGTCCTCTTTGCCAAGGCTCTAGATACCTCATCACCATCTAAAGAGATATAGAAATCTGGTCTGTAAAATGGCACACTGCGTCTATCCTCATAACCTGGAACTTCATGAACCCCAGGCACAGGGATTGCCTTAACAGTTGAAGCAGGCACATTGCGCTCAGAACATTCCTTGTAAAGATCCTTGAAAATGATCCAGTCCTGCCGATTTGGAAACTCAAGCTTCCAATTATCATCCCCAGTCCAAATTATAGCATGAGTGAAACGGTTGCAAGAACTAGGCCTCATAAATTTATCTGCCTTGCATGCGAACTTAGTCGAACTACCTTTTTTTACTACAAGAAGCCATTCTCGGGATGCAGAGAGCTCTAAAGTGACAATTGCTCCTTCTTCCCTGTAACATCTGTCTGCTTCAACAACCAATATATTGGCAGAGCACTGAGATGAGTCTACATTTTGAATTAAATCCGATATGGAAGAGCCCACATCACTCATGTTTGCCACAGAACTATTGCGTACTGAACTCCTAAGCTTGTTTTTAGAAACTACGGAAGAAAAAGGAATGCCATTTCTCCTACTACTGATCAAATCAGACATTAGAGCACCATTAGCCTTGTGTATACCAACAATAGAAGGATTTCTAGCTCTCCTTCTCCTCAAAGAACTCCTCCTCTTCTGAATACTGCGAGAACTCAGACCATTTCTACATTGAGCATTTCGACCTGTTAGTTTGGAAGCTCTAACAGATGGATGCAAAACAACTTTGCTCCCAAGATTATCAATCTCAACTGCAGCAGTTCCAGTCGTACTCTTCCAAACATCTACAACAGAAGTTACACATGGTTCATCTTCTTCACTGTCGCTCACTGTTTCATCACTATTTACAGGAACTATTTGTATACGCTTGAATCTAAGAACCTTACTGTAATGCATAAACAGAAAATAATGGGGAACTGCAGAAAAATCCAAAGAAAACAACGGAATAGACTCTTTGGCCCCAAAAAACTTGCATATTCCGGTTCTATTTCGAGGTCCCTGAAAGAAATTGTATCAAAAAACCCCATAAATAAAAAGCTCATACCAGTACTAAAGAGGGCATTTTTAGCATACTAAGTAATAAAGAAAGAAATTTAACTTCGTTGTCCACATAACTAAGCAATTCTTCTTCAAAATATACATACTATTATCACTTATACTTAAGGCGGAAAAAGTGTCAGTTTCTGCATGGCAAAAGGAAAAAAATACTTACCCAGAAGAAATTAACACCATTTGAAGCGTAAACACTAGATATGGGCTGCGACATCAAAAAGGCAGCAAGCTCAGACAACCTTACTTCCGCCCTTCTCACATAACCCAAAACCGAAATCAAAAAAGTAGAAAAACAACAATTACAACCCCCATTTTCCACAACAAAAGAAACCATTTTAGGCTCTTCAACACGCTTGCTGCTGTTCCCATTCTCAGCGGCCTGCCTTCTGGAAATCTGTTTCCCATAATTTTCCTGCTCCGAATTCCCTGAGAGATGTCCATTTTGAACCCCATTTCTCTTCCTTTTCCTAGTATACACAACCCCAAACATCTTATCTACACTCCCACTATCGTTTAAGGCTCCAGCTTTCATTTTCCTGGATTGTTTCCTTGAATTCTCTTCGTTGCCTAATCTTTTGGGCCTCCCATTTACCTCAGCAGCTACACCGTTTACTTCACTCTTCGAAGTCTTTTTCATCAGGTTGTAGTTTTCATCACCTTCATTAGCAAGCCTCTTGGGCTTGGCCTCACCGGAATCCGGCCAGAGCCGCCGCCCAGAACGAAGAACCCGGGCTACCTCCGAGCTCTTCACCATCCTGAATACCCTTGTGGTCCGCCTCATCCCCACTGAAGGCATCGCCGTTAGGTTATTCTGCCTACACCTAACACCTCACTCGATCTTTCCTAACCACAATCGAGTTGACTCAGTGGGCACGTTCCGAGTTGACTCAGATAGACACAAGAACCACCGAGCTGGCTCAGTCGAGACAAGAAACCAACCCCGAAAAGCCCCACTCAACAAACCACCCCGTAAGCCCAAAGAAACGTGAAGAGAAACAAAATCGAGAAACGACCCTCCATTTAGGAAGCGGATCTAGACGGATAACTCCAGGATACTTATACAAAAACCAAACCTACAATTCAGAAGAACTCGAACCGTTCTGACTCAGCTATAGAAATGTCCTTGTTTCGTTTTTTCAAAGGAAAACAAAAAGGAAACTAGTGTAGAAAATTACAACATGGTAGTGAGTAACCAATAAGAGAAAAATAAGACAACGTCGTACAGACAAAGATCGATCAACTCCAAAAATTCATACAACAACGAAAAAAAACCCACGACCTCTGTTCTTTACCAAGAGAAAGAGGAAAAAGAAGATGGGTCTCTCTCTACAACTAGAAATGAAGAGAGAGAGAGAGAGAGAGAGAGAGAGAGAAGCTCAGGGTAGAGAATAGAGAGACTGAGTTTCACGTGAATCCCGGCTTTGTAAGAGAAAGAAAGAGAGAGAAAGATGGAGGCTAGGGTTTATGATGATGTGATTAAAAAGCACTGAAGAGGGAAAGCCAAAGACTAGACAGACAGAGAGAGAGAGAAGGGGAAAAAGTAAATGGAAAATGGAAAACGAATTTGCCGAGTGATGGGAACCGTTGATCTTGGGAAAATGGACGTTTTAGATTATTCGATGGCTCCAATGACCGGGGCCTTCTAGCGTTTCTCTCTTTCTTTACTTTTTGCTCTCTTGTTTTGTGTGTCTGTCTGTATGGTTGGAAGAGAGAGAAGGGGATATTTTCCTACCAAAGGTTATGAAGTGACAAAACTAGCCTTTGATGTGAAGGTTGGAGGTGATCTCGGATGGCGGCATTGCAGAATTTGCGTTGAATGCTGGAGGTGAAAAAGCGGTTATAATTCGCTCTACAGTGCATTGTGAGCTAATACAAAGAGAATTGACTTGATTTATAGTTAATTTATTCCTACCATACATTTTCACTGTTTTTATTGCTCTCAAATACATCTCTTTTCCTTTTTTTTCTTTTTTGTAAAAAAAATTAAATTAAATTACACAATTAATCCATATAGATTTAGTTTTTCTATACTAATTTACGTGAATTGGAACATTATATTTTATTAATTTATTATTTTTAATTTTTAATTTTTAATTTTAACACCGTTAAATATATTGATTTGGTATTTTTAATTAAATTGACATTACATTTCTATTATATAATGCTGGCATAGCAAAATGTTTACTTGATAAAAAATTGCTCTTTCTATATGAGTTTAACGAAAAAAATTACCTTAACTTTAAATTAAAAATTAAATTTAAGAACTTCAAAAAACGATTGAGGGAAGAGAAGAGAATCAATTGGTTTTGAATTTGGAATTGAAGGTAGGGAAAATAATGGGTTTTCATTTTGAAGATTCAATTGATTTTAAACTAACAATTTTTCATTGAAAATTTATTCAATTAGTACAAAGGCTTTTGATGAGAAACATCAGTTCACATCGATCACTACTGTCAAAATTGCTTCTCTAGACTATAAGATTGGTTTAACTAAGAAAATACGTGCTAGCACAGTCATGGTGAACAACAAAGTGAGAGAAAATGGACTAGAAGTCTCAAGTTTCCGAGATGACCAAGTTTTAATTTGCAATTGTTGAGCAGATAGTCTATAATGCTAAGTTTGCTATTTTGTCAAAAGAAACAAATATAGATGAAATCGCAACAAAGTCTTTGTATTAACCAGTTGAATTTTCAAAGAAAAATTGCTGATTCAAAACTAATTGAATCTTAACAATGAAAACCCATTATTTCCCCTACTTTTAATTCTAGATTCAAAACCAATTGATTCTCCCTCTTCAACGGTAGAATTTTTTTGTTTCTCTCTTAGTTGTTTTGCTTTTTGAAAGTTCTTAATGGTTTTTTGTTAATCTCATTTAATTTTTAATTTAAAATTAGGTGTTTTTTCTAATTTCTTTTGTTAAACTTATATAGGAAGTTAAACATTTTTTAACAAGATAAGCGTTTTATCATGTCAACATTATGTCATATCAACCTAATCAAAATACCAAGTCAATATATTTAACAATCAAATTTAATAGTATTAGAGTTAAAAATTAAAATTAATAAATTAACAAAATCCAATGACCCAATTCACACATATTATTATACAAGAATCAAATCTATATTTTTTGTATAATATAAAGATTAATTATATAATTTAATAAAAAATAAAGAAAAATATCACGTGGCAGTAAATTGAAAAGGACCCTTCAATTGAGGGGTGTAGTGACTAATGATTGGTAACTTTTTCATTACTTTTCCTTAAATAAAAATAAACAAGAATAGCAAATAAACGTAATTTACTTTTCCTAAGAAAAGATATCAAGAATATGTAAATCAAGCTTTTAGGTTTTAAAAAGATTTTAAATATTTAATTATTTTTTCAAAGAAATTAATTTCTTTTTGATACGTGGGGCATTGTCTTTTCACAAAATTGTAAAATGAAAAGATGCGAGATTTTCGTTATTGTTGTTTTCTCATTGATACATCTCAAAATATGTGTTTATTTGCATGTGTAATGCATACGTTCATTTGTTTTGTTTTTATAAACCATACAGTAATCTTGTTATAAAAATTAACATATTTATGACTAAACTTGTCCATTGATAGGTTGGCTTGACTTGAACCAATCCTTAAATTTTAGATTTGAGTTGATTTGAAAATTATGATATTAAGAAATATTTATTTTTTGTTTTAAAATATATTTAAAAATATTAAGATATTAATACTAAAACAACTTTAATATTTCAATAATAAATAATTTTAACTGGATAAACCTGTTTAGAACTTGAATTTTTTAAAAGTCAATCGAGTTTAATATGATTATAGTTATGATAATCTATACTATATATAAAAATTGTAAGTAAGAATTTTCGCACCTGAACCTATGAAACGACTAACCTTTATTTTATTTTTTTAATTAATTAAATGTATTTTTAATTAATTAATGAAATTACCCCAATATCTCTTTACTAATTCCCTTTATTTCCCCCAATTTACTAAACCTTAACTCTTTATAACTTAAACCCTTTTTCAAAAAAAAATTCCTCATGTTCTCCCGATCCCTCAACTACCGTTGTGCCTTGATCCTTGACTATTGCCAAGTCCCATTTATTTGGAGTTTGCAAAGCACTAATGGAGTTTGGCGAGCACTAGTGCACCACCAAGCACCAACCCCAATTTAGTGGACCAATCCTCTTGTCATCGCTTGCCGTTTTCCGATTGTCGAGCACCAGCAACCTCGATTCTCTTATCCTTTCCCGAAACTAAAAGGTGATTAGGCTAGTTTTAATAAATTTCCTGATTCCCCCATCAACCCCATTTAACAAATTTAGTTAAATTCATTAATTTAAGTCCGTGTAAACACCTCATTTTGTTCCAGGTGTCTATTAAATTTTGATAATATAAAAAATATAAAATATAAAAATTAAAAAAATAACAAAAAAAAATAAACATGTAAAAGGGTAAGGTTATATTTCCACCAATCTTAATTCTAGATGAATTTAAAAATCTAAAAAGAGATTAAGTTAGATTGAATCAAAACTCAAAAAATCAATTCAAGAAGAAATATAACACATTGAGTATAAATATGCCTAAGCATCAATCCAAAAACACATGAAAGAAAAAAAAAAGGAAAAAAATTAAGTAGAAACAATTGGCAGAGAAGAGAAAATAGTTTTGAATTCTTACATTTCAATGTCTTTTTCTAAATCTAGGAGAATCAGTTTAATTTATAAAAAAAAAAAATTCTGATTGAAGGGATGAGGGGATCGAAAGGATTCAGGGAGTGAGATTGTCTTTCAAAGAAAGAAGCTCTCACTTGTAAAAAGAATGAAGAAGTTAGAAAGAAGGAAAAGAACGGAAGGGAAACTTTTATATAGAAGCAAAATGATGCCATTTTTGCATCAACTAAGGGAGACTTTTGTGGACTGGATCTAATTAATCTAACCCATGCTTAGTTTTTATGCCCGCATGAACTTATCTGGGTAATCTTGGCTTGTTAGTCTGGTTTTTTCAAACTAATTAGGTGAATTTTTTTTATATTGAAATGAGTTTAATTGGTATTTTTCAACATTTTGAATAAAATGTTTTCCTAATTTAATGACCTTTGCACTAATTTTTTTTATGATTTTGATTTTGATTTTTGTTTTTATTTTATTTTATTTTTAAATCATTTAAAAATTAAGAGTTTCAATAATAAAATCTCAAGGATGCTAAAAGAGGTTGCTTCTTGAGAATTTCTAAACGAGAAAATCTTCCAAACTAATGCCATAAGAGTTTGGAGATTTTGAAAAATTTTCAATACCATGAATGTTTATTTATTTAAAAAATAACAAAAGAAAAGGAAATAAAATTGAATATTGAACTAGATTTGAGTTAATATGGTTTAAAGGATACATAATTAATTAGGTACCAATTAAATAAGCGTTGTGAGTATCCTAATACCTTCCTCACTCGCAAATGAACTTTCGAACCTAATATGCTTTGTAGATTAGAACCTATCTTCTTCTTTTTTTTAATGAATCTAAGTTAAGCCTAATATTTCATTAGTAAAAATAGATTTACTTGGGTTGTCAATCACACTTAAATTACAAAAATGATGACAACTCCTTTTTATGTCAAAAAATTGAGTTCCATGACTCACACGTTATGATAGTAGATTAAATAATTACTAATTATTAATGCAAACCATTTATTGTGTCTTGAAGCTATTTATTTTACCTGTAAATAATGCCTTGATAGAATGGTTTGAATGCCCAATTGGGTAAAGTTTAATTGCAAAGTCAAATAGTATTATCTTATTAATTGTAAAAAATTGACTACATGACACGGTAACGTGTAGAGTTGAGAATGGAGGCAGATGCCTGCTGCATGTATGCATGCCCATGTACTAGGAAATTGAATTCTTAAAATCAAATTATTTGTAATATTTTGTTGGCTTAATGTTATAATTCTTTTACATTTACAATTTTCGTATATGAATATTAAAGTACAAGATAAATCATAAACACAAACATATCAAGTAATTCCTTTTTTTTATGAAAGGAGGCAATTAGAAGGTAAATAAATGACTGAGTTATGACTCACATTTTTGTTATACGGATTTTATGTGAGGCATAGCAAATTGATCATGACTCGTTGGAAAAAAATATTTCATGCAAAATATCAACTCTTACCCGACATGGACAATGTGTATTTGAGTGTCATTGCTTTTCATTTTTCCTTTCGTTTTCTTTTTTTATGTGTACATAAAAAAATGATAAAGAAATTTTCAAGCAATGAACTTGTAAGTATTCAACTAAATGTATTAGATGTTAAAGAAGAAATAAATTTTGGCTAGGCATTTAACATAACCTTGTAAAAATAAGAAATCAATTAGAGTAACTATACAAATTTTAAACCAACATTGATGATATAAGAGGTACAAGTACAAGAATATTTTTTTTTGAAATTAATTAATTGTGTGATTTTGAATATACAAACACTAAAAATTAAAATTAAGGGTGTATTTGGTATTTTATTTTTGTTATACAATTTGCTATTATTCATCAATGCAATTTGTTTCACCCAAATTTATTATTCAGCGTTTCATAAATGGAC